ACACTGCCTTTATTTATAGGCAATATGATCATTTACACAAAAAACATAAAGGATCTACTAGATAATTACTAGAAATAAGTGAATTTAGGAAGACAGCAAGATATAAGAGTAAGATCCAAATGTGTTTCTTATATAGGGTACAGGGAACTATATTTGATATCATGTGATAAACCATAATGGAAAAAATCATAGAAAAAGAATGTGTTTATGTACATAACTGAGTCACCATGCTGTAGCAGAGACTGTCCCAGCACTGCAAATCAACTACGCTTTAATAAAAGAAAATTTAAAAGTGTTTCTATGGACTTGTAACAATCAAGTTAGAAGTCTAAACTTTTAAAAAATTCTCTTTACAATACAATGAAAAAACATGAAATATTTGTGACTAAATTTAGCAAAAGACCTCTCTACTGAAAATTCTATATCCCTGCTGAAAGAAATGAACAAAGATCTAAAATGGGGACATACCATGTTAACTTCCTGTAAATAAACCTGCTATGGATTACATGCAATTCTAATCAAAATCCAAACAGGTGTTCTGTCAAATTGGTAAGTGGATTCTAAAATTTACATACAAATGCAAAGAACCTAGAATGAAAAATGCTGAAAATGAACTTATATCACTTGATTTCAACATTTGCTATAAAGCTGTATTAATCAACCATTTTTGTATTGGCATAAAACTAGACAGACCAATGAAATAGAACACTCTAGATAAGAAGTCATTAAAATATGTTCACAAAAAGACTTACACAAAAGAGCTTTCAGCAATGATAATCATTGTTTTTAAAAACTGGAAATAATCCAAATGTCTATCAACAGTAGAGTGCATAAATAAATGTGTGGTATATTCACACATAACATCTACTCAAAAATTTTTAAATGAACTACTGATAGGCACATAAACACTATGCTGAGTGAAAGAAGACAGACACAGAAGGTTAAATTATCCCATTCAGTTGAAATTCAACAACTGGCAAACTATGCTCCAGTGATAGAAATCAGAACAATGGTAATCTATGCATGGTAGGAACGAACTGGAAGGAGGCATAAGAAAACTTTCTCGGGTGATGGAAACATTCTTGTAATTGAAGCAATTAAACAAGAACATATATTCATGAAAACAGACTGACCTGTATGCTTAAGGCATTTGCATTTCACTGTAAATTTTACTTGTAAGGAAACATACTAGGACTTCTGGTCATAAGATGTCATTACGGGAGTGAAAATGCAAACCAGACAGGGACAAGATGTTTGAATCTGTTTTAAAAAAGATAAATGCTTTAATAAATTAATAAGTAAAAGACATATAAAAACATGGGCAAACAACATGAGTGGATGTTTCTTTTGAGGATATACAAATGCTCAACAAATATAAAAAATAATACTCAGCATCATTAGCATTAGAGAACTACAAATGAAAAGCAGAGGACACTACTACACAGCTACCAGATTGGCTACAGTTAAAAAGACTGACAGTGGAAATTGTTTATGTGGATGTGAAATGAATGGAACTGTCAAGCATTGCTGGTAACAGTGTAAACTGCTCTAACCTCTGTGGAAATATGTTTGGCATTCCAAACCAGAGCCAACACAGCTAAACCTGCTTCAACATTTCATTCTTACTCATTTCCATAAATATCTAGCTTGGGTGAAGTTACATAACAGGAAGCATCATTTCAAAGATGGGAGACTAGATCCATTCTAGGACAAAACTGTGGTGAACAGGTCATTTAACCCTGCATACCAATTAGGTGGCATCAATGGAAAGATTTAAAAAGCCAGATCATATTTTCAGCATACTCTGGTAGGAATAACTTAGTCAACAAAATACTACAGTAGAGAAAAACTTACAGGCTTGCAGGTGATGGAAGGAAAAACAGGAGAGAAAATAAACACCATAAGATTTGGACAATGTCAGAAAGTGTGAAGGAAAATGTCAAAGCATGAAAATTTGCTGCAGTTTTAAAGTTTATTAAAATTCACTTTTATCAAGTACAAAGTGAGAGTTAAGAAAGGCATGCATCCACCACTGCCTCCTGATGCTATTTAAAAGATAGTAAACAAAGGAGATGACACAAGACTTTCTATGGGCAGCACAAGAGAAGTGTTACAAGAGATGTGAAGCATGAGCTACTTGGTGCTACCAAATGAAGCCACATTATGCTACAAAAGCAAGGTCAATAAATCTGTGCCCAAACTCCTTGCCTAAACAGAGCAGACTGTTTGGAGTATCAGTCAGAGAACTTGAAACAGCAGAGTACACTGTAAATGTCAGATTCTTCTAATAACATACAGTCAAACAGTCTTCCAAGGTTTGGAATCCAAACTAAAAACTACAAACTGAGTGGCACTGCAGGCTTCCTCGATGTGGGACTTGCTGGTGAAAAGTGGTCAATGAAGCTTTACAGACAGCAAGTGACCTCATGCTCACTCTAGATTAATCCTACTACTGGTTAGGTCCTAGAACAAATAACTGCAAACTCTTAGGAGCTACACTTCTTATGTCATTTACTGCAAAAAAACATACTTTTAAAAAATGCATGTCAGTAGTTAAGTCATTACACAGTGAAAATATCAGTATTGATATAAATATCCATAGTTACACATTCCTAGAGCAGTATCCTTAATTATATCAAATTCTGTAAAGTCCTTCTAATTGATGCTATTTTAGGAACACCCTGCCAGTGTGCTAAATTAAAAATGCCTCATATAAAACACTGCATAATCAATCACTGAATGTACCATCTTCTTTTAGGTTTCCTATCTCAATATTACTGCCTTCCCATCCCCCCTAATTTTCAGTTTCTCCCAGTATCTGCTCTATATATCTACACCGAATTGACTGCAAGTCTTACATTTTCACAAATGTCCTGGATCAGGCTTTCATGATGGTTAGACTATCAGATCTCACTTTTGGATGTGTACTAAAACTCATGCTAGAATGAAGCTTTTAAAATATAAAAAAATCTTTCTGCTGTGGCTACATCCCAAACTGAGTCAAACTCGGGGGGTAACAAGTAGGTGGAATTGTAGATAAAACATAGGATACCAGTTACATTTTAATTTCAGATAAACAATGAATTAAAAAATTGTTCTGGAAAAAAAGGACCTCAATTTAAAATATTTTAAATACAGAATTAAGCTGCAAAACCATCCAGTGCTGTGTGTATATACATATATACATACATACATATATATACATATACATATATATACATGTATATATGTATATATATATATACATATTTTATGCCACAGAGTTATACTGAGTAATGATTTTAATGACCACATACCTGGGAGGAGCTGTTGGATAGATAACTTTTATGTGCTGGAATGCTAAATCTTGGTTTAAAACTTGCTTGATCCACGTTCTCAATCCTTGTCCAGAATCACCTGATGAATCACAAAGTCTAGATTAAGTTAAAACATTTTGCCAGCACAGTGTTTTGACAGAACAGTGTATTTAAAAGCAGTTTATAACTTTTAGGTCACATAGGCTGGAACAAGAAATAAAAACTCTTCATAAATAAACTGTATAGAAACCAACTTATCAATGTGGACTAACTGATCAAGCATCAATAGTTAGAAATAATTCTGATTATTTTACTCCTGACTCCACCCACTGATCACTTTAAAGCCCTCTTTAAGCTTTATTTTTTAAATTTCCCCATCTGCTTACATGATATAATAGGTATAAATAAATAAATTGATTTTTCTAAAAAAAATCCCATATATGATTTCAAACACTGTCATTTCTTATTTTATTCTTAAAAATAGTAAATTCCTAAAGTGCTTATAAACCTTTGCAATTGGAACAACCTAAAACAATTTTCTTGGTTAAAACAACAAATTCCTTCAAAAGATGTATTTAGCATACTTTTATTTTTAAACTTGAAAAAATGAAAAATTAATTTTGACAATATGTTTACATAATCTAAAATAATGATCATACATCCCATGGCTGAAAAATAACCAAGCCTCATGCAAGAATTGATATACATGTATTTCCATAAAAAAATTAAACTAGGTTCACTTTAGGTAGTCTTAAAGAGAAAAATTTCAAGTTAACAACTCTTAGTTTGTAATCAATCAATTTATGAAGCTTTACAGACAGCAAGTGACCTCATGCTCACTCTAGATTAATCCTACTACTGGTTAGGTCCTAGAACAAATAACTGCAAACTCTTAGGAGCTACACTTCTTATGTCATTTACTGCAAAAAAACATACTTTTAAAAAATGCATGTCAGTAGTTAAGTCATTACACAGTGAAAATATCAGTATTGATATAAATATCCATAGTTACACATTCCTAGAGCAGTATCCTTAATTATATCAAATTCTGTAAAGTCCTTCTAATTGATGCTATTTTAGGAACACCCTGCCAGTGTGCTAAATTAAAAATGCCTCATATAAAACACTGCATAATCAATCACTGAATGTACCATCTTCTTTTAGGTTTCCTATCTCAATATTACTGCCTTCCCATCCCCCCTAATTTTCAGTTTCTCCCAGTATCTGCTCTATATATCTACACCGAATTGACTGCAAGTCTTACATTTTCACAAATGTCCTGGATCAGGCTTTCATGATGGTTAGACTATCAGATCTCACTTTTGGATGTGTACTAAAACTCATGCTAGAATGAAGCTTTTAAAATATAAAAAAGTCTTTCTGCTGTGGCTACATCCCAAACTGAGTCAAACTCGGGGGGTAACAAGTAGGTGGAATTGTAGATAAAACATAGGATACCAGTTACATTTTAATTTCAGATAAACAATGAATTAAAAAATTGTTCTGGAAAAAAAGGACCTCAATTTAAAATATTTTAAATACAGAATTAAGCTGCAAAACCATCCAGTGCTGTGTGTATATACATATATACATACATACATATATATACATATACATATATATACATGTATATATGTATATATATATATATACATATTTTATGCCACAGAGTTATACTGAGTAATGATTTTAATGACCACATACCTGGGAGGAGCTGTTGGATAGATAACTTTTATGTGCTGGAATGCTAAATCTTGGTTTAAAACTTGCTTGATCCACGTTCTCAATCCTTGTCCAGAATCACCTGATGAATCACAAAGTCTAGATTAAGTTAAAACATTTTGCCAGCACAGTGTTTTGACAGAACAGTGTATTTAAAAGCAGTTTATAACTTTTAGGTCACATAGGCTGGAACAAGAAATAAAAACTCTTCATAAATAAACTGTATAGAAACCAACTTATCAATGTGGACTAACTGATCAAGCATCAATAGTTAGAAATAATTCTGATTATTTTACTCCTGACTCCACCCACTGATCACTTTAAAGCCCTCTTTAAGCTTTATTTTTTAAATTTCCCCATCTGCTTACATGATATAATAGGTATAAATAAATAAATTGATTTTTCTAAAAAAAATCCCATATATGATTTCAAACACTGTCATTTCTTATTTTATTCTTAAAAATAGTAAATTCCTAAAGTGCTTATAAACCTTTGCAATTGGAACAACCTAAAACAATTTTCTTGGTTAAAACAACAAATTCCTTCAAAAGATGTATTTAGCATACTTTTATTTTTGAACTTGAAAAAATGAAAAATTAATTTTGACAATATGTTTACATAATCTAAAATAATGATCATACATCCCATGGCTGAAAAATAACCAAGCCTCATGCAAGAATTGATATACATGTATTTCCATAAAAAAATTAAACTAGGTTCACTTTAGGTAGTCTTAAAGAGAAAAATTTCAAGTTAACAACTCTTAGTTTGTAATCAATCAATTTATTAAGATAGCAATTTTAAAAGTATCTACTGAATACCTATTAATGTGTGAGACATTATTCTTACTGCTAGAGAGGCAGGGACAGAAAGGTGATGGAGAGAAAGAATTCCTGCACTCATGGAGTATATAGCTTATTGTGAGAAACAGACATCAGTCAAATATCCATATACAGAAATGTGAAAGAAAGTGGCTGCAAATGTAACCACTGCAAAAGAAAGACACTAGGTGCTTCAAGGATTTCTTATATTTGGAATTACCCCCAACAAGATTCAGAGATAACTTCATTAGAATATAAGCTCCACAAGGATGGTTCATTTTGTGTTTAGCCACTGAGTTATTTGTTCATCAGATGCCTAAAACAGGACTGACACAAACTAGGCATCCAGTAGATAGTTGTGGAATGGTTTGAACTGAGATCTATGGGATGGTGAAGAGTCAAGTACAGAAGGAAAAGCAGCTCAGACAGCACAAGGCAGATGCTAAAACCCCGCAAAGGAAGGAGCAGCATGGCATCGAGAACTGAAAGGCAGAAAACGAGAGGAAGAGCAGTGAGAACATGGAGAAGCCGAGACGGTCATTTTTTGCAGAAAGGGGGCACACTTCTAAGGATTATTCTGGAATCCTTATTCTGGAAGCTGTGTGAAGACAGGCCTGAAGGAGGACAGAGATGTGGAAGGATCAGTCAGGTGGTTGCTGTTCAGGTGACAGTTGCTTAGACTATGGAGTAAACAGAAATAGATACTAGACATAATAAGGAGATGAAATTAACATCTCCTGCATTGGCAGGTGGATTTGACCACTGAGCCACCAGGGAAGTGGATGAAATTAACAGAAACTGGAAACACATTAGTTACCAGCGGTCAGTCATGACAGGTTTCAAGGCTGACAGCAAAAGTGTTTGGCCAGAGAGGAAACACAGGAAGCAGCAGGTCTGCAGACACCAAGTATGAGGTACAAAGGGCTGAGCCAACTACAGCCAGCTGGAGGACAAAATCCAGCTCCCTGAGGGCTGAGAGCTAAGAAAGGCTTTTTAAAGAATTAAAAAAAAAAAAAAGAAAGAAAGAAAGAAAAAGGAGAAAACAGAAGAGAAAAAGAAAAATATGTGAAGGAGAATTGATGCGACACACAAAACCTAAAATGGTCACTACCTGACCCTTTACATAAGTCTGCTGACCACCGCCCCACACTATCTGCTGCCAGAATCCTCCTCAGGTGTCTTTTCCTGCTCCTATCACTCTAGGCATCCTAGCCTTACTGCCATTCCTTGAATGTTCCTGGTCTTCCTCTTGTCTGTACAGTCTAACCCAATATTCACATGATTCACTCAAGTCTAGCAGCTAAAATATCGTCTATATGAAATCTATTCTGATCACCTTATTTAAAACTGTAATCCCATCATACATCTCATTTTCCTAATCTTGGCTTCTTTCTTTCCAAGGAATGTACTCTCTTTTACCATTAATACTTCCTCCAGTAGAAAGAAAGGCCCTTGAGAGCAAGGCTTTCTGTTGTTTTGTTCATTGTTGTATGCCCAGAGTCAGGAACAGTGCTTTGCACAGTGACCACATAATAGGTATTTCTTCAGTGAATGAATTCATGCATGCATGACTATTAGGCAATTGGATAAACAGGTCTAGCGCTCAAAGGAGATCTAAAATGAAGACGCATATTTGTTTCACATGAATGGAGATAAAAATAGAATCTGTGGGCTTGCATGGAATTTAGCCTGGGGAGAAAAATGTAGAGGGAATAAGAGAAGAGGAGCGAGGTATGAATTCTGAGGAAATCAATATTATGGCCAGGGAGAGGGAAATGAACGTGCAAAATAAGCCACAGAGCAAACAGCAGCAGAAAGAACCAGGAGGGTTTCCAGAAGAAAGCTGAATGCTGCTGACAGTTCAAATAAAAGGATGACTGAAAAATGTCCATTATATTTAGCAACATAGAGGTTACTGGTGACTTCAGTAAGAGCCGACTCAGTCAATTCACTAAGACCTACTATATGGGGAGAAAGCAAGTCATATAGGGTTTGGCTCTATGTGAATCTTAGAGCTCAGTGTGAAATAGACATTAAATTAGGTGAAGCATATAACAGTGTGAATTAATCTAACCTGAGAAGTAAATAAAGCTAATTAAGCTATCATGCTTTCATCATCCTGAAAGAAGATATTGGTATTGTAGTAACTGGAAATGCTAAAATTAAGTTGATTATATATAACACATTCATTCACACATGATGTTCTAGGTTGTTGTATTCTATAAGAGAACCTCAAGTTCTCAAGATTAAAAAAAAAAAAAAATCTGCCTCTAAACACTTTTTTACCTTGAAAAGCAAAACTAAATGTTCCAAAAGAGCATGGATCCATCCATTCACAAAGGCCAATCCTTAAAAAGCCAGCACCTGATTCTAAGAGTATAGAAATTGTTAAAACTGGTTTGCCACATTTGTATCAATCAGAAGTCAAGCATATACTATACCACAACCACATATATCATCGTCTAGTGTAAAATCATATTCCCAGTAAGTTGGAGCACAAAATACATAGGAATTGCATTATACTTGCATAAGTGGCAGAATTCTTTGGATAAACTTTGTTGAAAGTACAAAGGGGAAAAAAAATTGCAGGTACAAGTCTGGGTTTCAGATACACACAGTCACAAATTTTAAAATGTCAGTAATTTGAAACTGAAAGGAGTAAGGATAGTAACTTTAAGCACAGTGGTCCAGGCGAAAATGAAGAAAAGTCTCAGAGTATTTCCTAAAGATATTGTGGAATAATTTATTTATTAAAAGGACTGTAGCACTGGGGAATTTCTCGGTGTTTATTTCTGGCTGCTGTTTGCAGCCCCAAATAGTATTAGTATTAGTCTCTGAGTTATAAGCATTGCTGTCATCTTAGGCCTCTCATCTTCTAAGTATATTTCATCAGCCAAGTATTTCCCTTTAAATATCTTTGGCCCTTTTTTTCTCTATTTCCAAAATGATAAACACTAGATCACAATTTTTTCACTTCACCTCTCCAGAGCAGTGATTTTGGAGTCAGAGATCTGGGTTCAAATTCCAATTCTACCACCACTGATTGCAATAGCCAAGTAACCTCAGACAAACTATTCAATCTACCAAGACTCATTTTAAAAATGAGAGCATTTCCAGGTTTCCACCCTGTACCTTTGCAATCCCCTCCATCATCCAATCACTGTCCTCTTTAAGCTTACACAAGTCTTGGCTCAAAGACCACTTCCTCTGTCAAACCTAACAAGCCCTTCATCTTCCAAAAGCGTTGATAACGCCTAACCATTTTTTTCCCCCTCTTAAAATTCATTTGGCAGTAAATCATGCCATCGTGGGCTCTGACCACTGCTGAGTAAAACTAAATGAACTGTCTTTACCTTTCGGTGGGCCCGCTAAGGACACAGGCTGCGTTTCATTTCTTTAAAAAACATTTCCCAAGAATTTACCCCAGGTTGCACTAGGAATGCAAAAATTCAAACAAGAGTTTGAATCTCTTGAGAAAGAGAAAGAAGGGAAGCGGGGAAGACAGGAGTAACTACAGGTGAGTGTAAGAAACGCTATACAGAACTGAGTACCTTTATGAAAGGCAGGCAGTGGAAGAAGAACCTGCTGCCCCTGGGGCTCCGCTTTATTTTGGGGGCTGAACGACAAGAGGGGCAAAGAGAAGAGGAAGGAGAAATGCGGGGCGGGGGGCACTTTAGCCCTGGCACAGTGTCTCACAGAAAGGAGTAATAATCCACTGTGGCTAAAACTCAAATCACTAATAACTGAGTATTTAAAGTACTACATAATGTATCTGTCTCTAGCAGAAAACGTATCTAACTTGCTCTGTTTAAACTTGGAGGAAGCGACGGGGCGGGGGAGGGATGTGTGTGGCCAAGGGCTGCAATGGAGAATGTGAACAGAGGGCTGACCAAGTGACGGGGCACAAAGGCCAGAAGCGAGGACGCGGGGCAGTGGCCGCAAGACAAGAAAAAGGAAGGCAAGGGGATACGGCTGTGGACCGGTTACCAGCTCCCGTGTCCACATCCGCGGGGGTTAACAAGGAGGCAAGGTCACCCGTGCCTCCACGAGGGCAACACTGGGGGAACCGAAGACGGGGGCGTCTCCCATGCTTCAGTAACCTGGACGGAAAGCTGTAATCCACCTGAGCCATGCAGGAAGATCAGCGAGGCGCTGTGGCTCCCAGCCGGCGAAACCATGCAGCGATGCAGGCGTGCTGAGCCCGACGTGGCGGCCATGACTGCGGCCTGAACCAGAGCTGCGCGGGCCCCGCCCCTACGCCGTCCTGCGGGCCCGCGCACGTAGGCGTGCACGGGGCGCGCCTGGAGACGCGCTTGCGCAGCGGGGTTGCGCAGCCCGGCCTTTGGGCGAAGTCTGAGTCCGATGAGGCTGTACTGAGGGTTTGCATTTGCTAGGATTGGTGTCATACAGGTGACCCCTTTGGTAAGGTTAATGGATCTACTTATTTGCTGTAGGATTTTCAACTGCAGTCCTAAAATTCAAGATTGCTTTTTCATTTGGAGACATATAGGTGTTATGATTTACCACTGGGCCCCATGTGAGTATCTGAAATAGGCAGATTCATCAAGAGAGAGTAGTGGTTACCAAGGGCTCAGGGGAGCAGGGAATGAGAAGATATTGTTCAATGGGTACAGAGTTTTTGTTTGGAATGATGAAAATTTTCTAGAAATAGTGGTGATGATTATACTACATGGTGAATGTATTGTATTTCATGCCACTGAAACTTGTCACTTATAAATGGTAAATATTTTGCTGTGTAGATTTTATCACAGTTTTTAAAATAAAAAAAAAAAAAAAAATAGCTTAACAGTTTTCTATATCAAGCCCTAACAGTAGAGATCTTTTAATACTGATGGCTTCAGCCCCAGAAGGGGCTTCCCAGGAGGTGCCAGGGATAAGGAATCTGCCTGCAATGCAGGAGACTCAAGAGACGTGAGTTCAGTCCCTGGGATGGGAAGATCCCCTGAAGTAGGAAATGGCAACCCACTCCAGTATTCTTGCCTGGGATATCCCATGGACAGAGGATCCTGGCGGGCTATGGTCCAGGACGCACACAGTCAAACATGATTGAGCAGGCTTGTATGCAGCTCTGGCAGGTGGCTCCTGCCTCCTGTAAAATTCAACAAGAAACTGCAGAACTTTTAAGTGCCCTTAAACACTAACCTCCCATTCATTGTAGACTGCACCATATTTAAGCAGTTGCCACTTTTGTTTGCTCATGGTAATTTTGTTACTCCCAATTAACTAAACTGCTTATCTTCATGGATCAGATGCCAAGATAAGCTGTATGCTATCACAGTGTTATACCAATGCTGTCCACAGGAATGGCCCTAAATGCCATTGCTTAAGCAGATCAAAAAAAGCTGAGTCATTTCTCAAGTCTCTAGACCTTCCGCAGAGAATACTGAGAACAAAGTAATTAAGGAGGAAAGGCTGGGATGGACAGAGCTCTGATAGCCAATTCTCAGAAATTGCTTCGGTGTCTAGAACCGCCTTCCCCACTTGAATTCTGAATAACTTTCGAGAGCCAGGTGNGAACCGCCTTCCCCACTTGAATTCTGAATAACTTTCAAGAGCCAGGTGAGAAGAGGGTGGTGCTTAGGAGAGACCACTGGATGTATGCCAGGTAAGGCTTTGATTACTCTTAGAACTCCATTTACTGCCTGGAAAACTTTGCTGTGCCCCACCCCCCTGCGTTTGAAATGACAAGAAAAATCAGAAGCATAATTATGATGGTTATTGTTGCTAATAATAATAATAATAAACTCCTGAAATTCATTGGGGGACTTACTAAGTGTGAAGCGCTGTCATAAGTAAATTCCTGTGAAACAGACAAGCTGGAACCTGGGCTCTGGGACCTTTTGCTGCAGTGCTTGCACCTGGATAGATGTCTCCTCCAGCAGCAAAATATTAATACAAGGAAACTATAAGGGACTAAAAATAACTGTGTGCATGTGCAGTTGGGGAAAATTATGGAGAACAAGATACAGAAAGACCAGCTGCCACTTAATGAAGAGCTAGGAGCTAAAGCAGGGGACTGCACATGCTTCATGCACATAACACCATCAAAGCAGTAGGCAAACCAGTTAAGCCACTCCTCCAGTCCAACATCTGGGCACACCCCTACCCTCTCCATATGGAAAGAGCTAGTTCATTACCACCATCCTCCCCCAACCCCCGCCCCCCACTGCCCTGCCTGGGTGAGCAGGGGAGCAAGGAAACCTCTTGCTTGTTCTTCCCCCCAGTCTGCTGCAGCAGGGCCTCCAATAAAGCCTTTGAATTTTTTGTCCAGCCTCTTATCAATTCCTATTGATTAAGGTGGCCATAAAACCTGATCTGTAACAAAGCTGCATACTATTACTCTGTTTTGGCCAGTGAGGCTCAAAGGGCTGAAGAACTTGGCTCAATGGTCGTAACTGCTAGTCATTTGTAGAACCTGGATTCATATATTGGTTCTATCTGACTCCAAGGTCCAGGACCTTAGCTGTTATATACATTTTATACATGAGTTTACAAAAATTAGTGTATGTTCCAACTATTTTATTTTAGGGGAAAAAAAAAAGAAAAGTGCTTCTGGGATTTAAACTATAGCTCTTCAGAGTCTTATCGATTAGGAGTTCCTGTGTTTCTTCAGATATCCCCAAGTCTCCTGGTTTTAATTCCTGATTTGCTCCTACACCTTGAATAAGCACCAGTTCACCTTGAAGGAGCATTAGTTTAAGCAGGTACCTGAATGCTGGGATTCTGGGTTTCACCTAAAATTTGAGCCTTCCCAGATTTAGGATCATTATTGGAATAAGCCAGATTTTTCCAAACCTAATCAAAATACCCCTTTGTTTCCAGTGATTTCAATGCTTAGCTATTGTTGCTATTCCTTTCATCTTTATTTATAGAACAAACAGAAGGTTTAAGATTACTGTATTTAGAAATGCCATCTGGTAGGCAACTATTGAAAAAACTGTTTTGGTCCTTTCATGTAACTTTGTTTTGTAACTTTCATGGTCTTTTCATCCATTGCTTTGAAATGTAATTAAGTTTCAGGCTGGTTGTTTGCTTCTTTTTATGGTGGATCTTTTGCCCTTTTGAACTTGGGGGAAGAGTCATCCTTGGGAGATTCTTGCTCACACACTCTTTTGCTCTTTTGTATCTCTTCTTGTTGTTGTTGTTGTTGTTGTTACTCATTTCCTTTCAGCTAATCTATGTGCCTTTTACTGATGCACTCCCTTTGGTAATTTCATTGTTTAAACTCAGAACAACAGGCAAATAAAAGCAAAAACAAAATAAAAATAAAAAACCAGTAACCAGCCCTCCCTTTTTTAAGCCCCATTTGGATCTAAAGATATAAATGGTAGTGTTGGTGTTTAGTTTGCTGTTATATATTTAGAAATCCTTAAGGGCATGTTTATTAGTTTTTTAAAAACGCTTGAAAGATTAGCCATTTAGAGTAGTATATTTGGTACTTTCAAATGATCACAGTTAAATGGAATCACTTTAGTCATGAAGACAAGACAGTTTTTATATTTTCTTTTGTCATTCTAGAGCATCAAATCTTACCCTCTCCATTGGTTGGTTTTTATCTGTTGCATTATTCCAATGGACAGAGAAAAATACACACACACACACACACACACACACACACACACACATTTATAAATGATACATAGTGGACAGAATGTCTCAGCATTAGGTAACTTTGTAAATTTTGCAAGTTAGCAAAGTAAATTCCTTTATACTTTCTCCTTACATTTTATGAAAGAAAAACTAGAAAACACTTAAAGGTCCTGAATTCTTATTAAACAATAAAACTGAACTTTTTAGAAATGAATGGCTATATGAGATTATAAACTTTAGTATGGTCATTTTCTCAATTCTAGGGACCTTAAATTTTTTTCAGTTCAATGCTTCTGGATAAAGATGTGAAGAGTCCTCCTACTTTACCCCACTATTCCTACTAGATATACATGGCATACACACATGGGGTCTTTGCAGACCAGGAGGTCACCTGGGGCGTTGTGTGCTAGGCTGAGGCAGCATGGTGGGGATGATACATGACTTACTCAAATGTGGACCAAATACAGTCCTGGCACATGGGCACTTATCACTCCTGTTGTATTATTAACAGAGTGATTCACATCAAAGCAGTGTACAGGCCTTGGGTGAGGACAGTGGAAGTTTCTGCCTCAGACACAGGCTGGGTGTCAGTATATGTGACTGGACACTGGAACAATGTTCTCAGCATCGTCATATGACTCTTCTTTAGGAAAGGGATCATCTCCCTTTTGACCACTTTGCATGATGAGTTCCCATATTCCTAAGCTACTTTCTGGAGACACCTCCTAGTCAGCTTTCTCTAAGTCCTTATAATCCTCTTGGGAATCCCTCTATTGATCTTCGTAATGTCTGTGGACTCTCCCATCCATTCTTGACTCTTGCATGACAGATCTTGATGGCTCTTCAATTTCAGAACAAGAGTTATTAGCAGTGCCTAACCAGATCCCACTCCCTTGAAGGCACGGAAGGCTCAGTCTTCAGACTGTCCCATGGGCTGCGGGGAAGATGATGCTTGCCTTACATGTATATTTTTTGAAAAAAAAAGGAAAGTAAAAAGAGAAGTTTCCCTATTAATACAGTTTGAACATTTATGTGCTGCCACATCCATTTAAGAACAGATGAAATATAAATGTAATCATAATAGCATGCAATGAGCAGAGTATTGAAGTGATATTCCAACTTCAGGAGTAACAAGCTGTATAACATTATACAGGCCATTTAGTCTCTTTGGACCGGTTTTTCCAACTATGAAATCAAGGAGTAGGGCTTGGTAAGCTCTCAAGTTCTGTGATTCTATGATCATGAAAGAATTTAAATTTATGACACATGCCACTTTTATAAATATATTTAATTATGCTTTTAATATTATGGCTCAAAACTCTTTATTATACTGCACAAACTTTTGTTTAGTAGTATCAGAAATATCAGCAAATATAATTTTCCTTCTTCCTTGGGTGGCTGATTTTAGTACCTTTAGTCTCTACTTTCTTCCTGATGGTTTCTAAAAACCAGGAAAAAGAGAGTTTAAAGGGTCTTTTAAAAAAACAATCAGATCATATGAATCCATCTTTGCAATTTATAAAGTAACTGCAATTTATTCTGAAGTGAACTACTTTCTAGTTATCTATCTATCCCTATCATTGATCAATAGGAAATATTTATGTAAAGGTATGACAATGGATTTTCT